AGCAAACACCAGTGCTTCAGGTCATCTGTGAACTGAGTTATAGAGAACAGAAGATAATTGGAGTATTTTATATTTAGCATTGAAAAAATATTTGGGGATCCTGTTTTTTGATAAGCAGAGGCTCACTAGTTCTGAGTGTACTTGAGCAGTCATTCTCACTCATAAGCTTTCCTGCCTTGTTTTGCTTTCCTGCCTTGTTTCTTTCTATGCACTGTTCTTGCTTAAGTGATTTGGCTATTATGCCAAATTTCTTGTCCATTCATTAGAAGTTGAAAGAAATTGCTTTATTTTTACTCAAAACCAATTTCCTGTGACCCTGAGAGACCATAATTCACTTAATAGTGTAGATATGAGACTTTCTTATAACAGCTTTGTAGTATCCACTAAGAAATTTTTTATGTGTGTATCCCCGAAATATCTCTGCTTTCAAAAATGGTCTCTCAGAAGCCTACTGGTAGGGGAGGTTCCAGTTACACTGAAGTAAGCACACTCCATACTTCTTTCCCACTGAATGCACCCAAAAAACACTGGACAGAATGCATGGAGCAACTCTCTGAGGACTCTGAAGAGGAAATGGTAGCAGGTGGATTGGGGAAGGAAAGCAAAACACAGACTATGATCGAACCAGTGGCAAGGTCCCTGTTTTGTTTTGTTCCTTTGGTTTTTGTTGTGTTGTGTTTTGTTTTTCTCCCATGACTCCTGGCCTGGATTCAAAGGCATGTCAAATCGCAGAACTGCACTCTGGGTACAGACACAAAGAGCTTCAAGAGAATCCCTCTCTTTCTGGTCCAAGGCAGGACAGAAACTGGCAGGAATCCCATCAATGTTCATGCAAGCCCTGTTAACCGCATTTAGTGTGTTACACACTAGGCTTTCACTGTGCATAGTTTTTTAAAACAGTTATACCAAACATTTTTTTTGTTTTCTTAGTAGACAAAAATGTTTATGCTATACACTTACTACACAATCACTTTTAACTTATTTTAATGATATATTGAGCAGCTATAGCCTAGTTCAGTGATTCTCAAACTTTAATGTGTATTTGAGTCCCCTCAGATTCTAGTTCAGTAGTAGGTCTAGCGTGGGACCTGAGAGTCTATCTACAGCAGGCTCCCGGGGTGGCCCATATTGTCTGTGGACCAGGCTTTAAATAACCAGGGAATAGTTATTTAACAATTTCCATTTAGGTTGTTTCTAGTTTGTGGCTTTTATAAATAATGTTTTATTTTTATCCATATGTATATGCTGTACATGAAGCTTTTCTTCATATTCGAGATCCTTTTTTTGAGGTAGCCTTCTAGAACCAATGTAACTGGATCAAAGGTTATGACTATTTAGATGGCTAATAAATGTTGACGATTATTTTCCCAGAGGATTTTGCTAATAGTAATAAATATGTTGTTGTTTGCCATCAAGTCGATTCCAGCTCATACCCATTGCCGTCAAGTCAGTTCAGACTCATAGCGGCTCTATGTGACAGAGTAGAACTACCCTGTAGAGTTTCCTAGGCTGTAATCTTTATGGAAGCAGATTGCCAGGTCTTTTCTCCCAGGGAGCCACTGGTAGGTTCAGACCACCAACCTTTCAGTTAGCAGCTGGATGCTTAACCATTGCACCATCAGAGCTCTAGAGTAGAACTGCCTCATAGGGTTCCAGGGAGCGGCTGGTGGATTTGAACTGCTGACCTCTTAGTAAGTAGCCATAGCTCTTAACCACTGTGCCACCAGGGCTCCTGTAATAAATATATCCTCCCCAAATTGTAGATGAGGAGATTGAGGCTTAGAATGGTTTGACTGCCTACGGTCACAGCTAATCCGTAGAAGAGCCAGGTTCCTTTATCGGCGTTCTAGCTGGGGACGCCTCTCCCTGCATGTAGAAGCCTCTGTCTTCACGCCGTCCCCTCCTTATAATCAGACCTGCTTGAGATCAGTGTCATTGTGAATCTGCCCCACCATTGGCTGTCTGCCTTTCTTTCTCTCTGACAGTTTCTGCATCTGGTCACATCCTTGAACCTTTCACAGATTGTGTTTTTTTAAATTGGTTATGTACACAATGAAGACATTAGCTTGTTTCTGCTGCAGTCGGTTTTGCCAGTTTGTGATTTGTCGTCTTTTTTTAAAAACATAATTTAAACTTTTTATATCTTTAGGCATCCATCCTTTTTTACAGTTTCCCGCTAAGCTTGAAGAGGCCTTGCTTTGCAGAATTTGACAAACATGGAATGAGATTTTAAAAAGAAAGCTTAAGGGGTTTTAAGGACACTTGAAAGAAATGCATTCGGTTTTTGCCTTTTTTCCTCACTAAATGTGGCTCAGTGCCATGTTTACTTCATAACCCCCCTCCCCCGTCACATATGCACACACATATACAGTGTCCCCACAAGTACTTTCCTGTGAAAATGGGAGGGCAAATTATGGAGTGATGCTGGCTTGAGGATGTGATTTATACTTTTCAAAACACAGAGGGAGTTTGGGAAGGACAATGTAAAATGATATAAAATGAAAAGATACCTAAAGCTTTTTTGCTATAATTTTCTTCTACATATTATCCATTGTTATGACACAACTAGACGAACTTTTTGATTTAAAACTTTTCAAAAAATTTGATCATGTTTATACATGCATGCCATTTTAAAAATAGAATGCTTCTACAGAACTTACGAGAAACCATAGTTCCTTGACCCTAACTCCACTCCAGCCCTCTTTCTGGTTCCCTTTCCATGCTTTCAACTGAAGCTTGAGGTATTTATTCTCCATATCTTTAACTTATCTTTAACAGATTTCTTTGTGTGTGTTTACCTTCATGTCTCTAAATGACATGACAAATATTGTTACTTCATAGTTTTTTAATACAGACTTTCTCTTTTACTGATTTCCTGCTGTGGCAGGTGAGGATTTGGTGTTCCCATGCCACACCCCACCTCCACTCCTGCCAGCCTGGCTGCTCCTGTGCCTTTTCCTTCTCCCCGTTTGCCTCCCCCAGCCACACTATTCCCACTATACTCGTTCATGCTTCTTGCCCCCATCTTCCCAGTGCAGTTCCCTGTCCTTTGTTCAGCTCACTGTTCAGTGCTTTACATTATAACAATTCTATAAATGCTCTTCACAGCTAAGCCACGTATTTCCGATCATTACTTTTCTGCACAATATTTTGTTTCCTGTAGAGTTAGTAATTACTTTGCTTTTTGCTTTATTAGTTTTCTGTGTACTTATTCACCCCCAAGTTGCAACTCTCAATATGGTCAGAGGTATTGGATATTTTGTTATCTCATCCTCTTGAGATGTCTCTCTGAAGCCTCCCATGTGGGGCAGGCCACTTTCTAGGCCTCTGCACAGCTTTGTGGCTCTCTCTTCATTGTCACTCTAGCAAGTCCCATTCCTTCTTCTCTCTGCGTTTACTCCCTTGCTTTGTAGAACATATCCTCTGTAATTTTCTGAGAAAGAGTACATAGTTGGTAAATATTTTGGAACTTGTGTTATAAAAATACTGGGGGTATTAGTAGTTCAGTGGTAGAATTCTTGCCTTCCATGCAGGAGACCTGGGTTCAATTCCCAGCCAATGCACCTCATGTGCAGCCACCACCTGTCAGTGGAGTCTGGGTGTTGCTGTGGTGCTGAACAGGTTTCAGCAGAAGTTTCCAGAGTAAGACAGACTAGGAAGAAAGGCTTTTGATCTACTTCCGGAAGCCAGCCAATGAAAACCCTGTGGATCACAATGGTCCAATCCGAAACCGATCATGGGGAAGGCTCAGGACCAGGAAGCATTTTTTTCTGTGGTGCATGGGCTCCCCGTGAGTCTGGGGCCTATTTGATAGCAGCCATCCGCAACAACATTGTGAAAGCAGCCTTAGTTTGTCCTTATGCTTAGTTAATAAATATGGCTGGGTATAGATTTCTAAGTTGAAAATCATTTTTCCTTAGAATTTTGAAGGCATTGTTCCAAAGCCTTCTAGCCTCCAGTGTTACTTTGGGGAAAAATCTGATTTTTGATCCTTCATATGAAGCTTGTTTTTAATCTCTGGAAGCTTTATAGAGTCTGTTAATCCCATTTTTGAAATGCCATGAAGCTGTCTTGCTTTATAGGTCTGTTTTCTTCTCTTGTGCTGGACATTCAGTGATCCTTTTGACTTTAGAGACTCATCTTCTGTGTGATGTGCTCAACCTGTCATCTTTATTTAACTGGAAGTCTTAATAAATTTTTAAAAGGGAAATTATGATGAAATAGATGTTTCCCAGAGTTGAAAAATATCAGTTAAACGTTGCAAGGGATCATGGTGATTAAATTGGCCAACCAGAATTTTAAAAAATGCTGATGTGCGTAAAAGATAGGCAGTTCACACGTTTTAGTTGACCAAGCAAATAGAAGTTACAATGAGTGAGCTGTTGAAGCCATTATTAGTCTAATATCCAGCCCAGATTGCATCAGAGACATGTAAATTTATTTATAGTCTTTATTTTCATTCTTATATTAAAAGGAAAAACATCCATTTCTACCCAAATAATTTCAGAAGATTTAAGGCACATCCTGTTCAGTCCCTTGTTTCAGTTTGGTCTCAAAGAAAATATCCCAAAAATATTTTGTATATTTGACTGGCCCAACCTCCAGCTGCTTTAGAATAATTGTCGTCTAGACCAAACATGGTGAAAATACCTCTCTAAATTTTTCCTAAATTAGAGATTTAAATTTTCTTTTCCCCGCAATGGCAGTTAGAATAAGTTAGTCCTTCTCTAGATAAAAACGTTGAATAAACATCTGCAGAAATATGCAATTAAAGTGCTAATATCTTTATTATCTTTAGAACTTTCTAAAGCTACAGGCTTCATCTACAGGACCATACTCTTCCCAGGGACTGCCCATAGAAGGGGAAACGTTGAGTGGGCAGACTTCATGCTGGGGATTCTAGGTGTCTTAATACAAGCTTAATTCCTGGACATAGGTAGTAATCATAGCACACATTCATGTGGGCTGATAATGAATCTTATTTTTCCTCTTCCCATTAGCTTTTCGGAGACTGGGAAGCCCAAGTGCGGAGAATAATGAAGCTCATTGCTGGAGGTGGCCTGTCCATTACGGGCTCTCACAACATGTGTGGAGACTATCTGTACAGCGGCCACACAGTCATGTTAACACTCACTTACTTATTTATCAAAGAGTGTAAGTCTAAAGCAGCCTTTCATTATGCTTTCCTCACCCGCCGTTTCTCGTGGTCTCCAGTCCTGATGGTAAATCACATTTTTGGGAAAGTCTGGTGAAACAAGATTGGAGCATTTAACCATATGCATCACCCAGCTGCCTAACAGATACAACTTTAATTAAATGTCAGTGGGCAGTTTTTTTTTTTTTAAATGGAGGATGATGCATCAGCCTATCCCTATTTGATTAAACTCATTATCGTTAAAACTGTGTTGATGATTATATAAATAACCAAATATGGCTTACTACTGCTAGTACAATCATTTTATAAATAAGCTGTTTTCATTCTAACCTTGGCTGCAGATAAGCTAAAGGCCCATTAGCCCTTAGATTTGCTATCCCAAAAGATCTGTTTTCAGAAGGAAAGACCTAAGGTAATTCTGTTGAGAACTAGTAGTGGAGGCATTGCTGGGTGCCCTTAGTGGTGCTTGAATGATGGGACTATTGCAAATTTATTCTCTTTTCAGATTCCCCTCGGCGACTCTGGTGGTACCACTGGATTTGCTGGCTTCTCAGCATAGTTGGAATCTTCTGTATTCTCTTGGCGCACGACCACTACACTGTGGACGTGGTGGTGGCGTATTACATCACCACAAGACTCTTCTGGTGGTATCACACTATGGCCAATCAGCAAGTGAGTTTTCCCCCCCGTTTAATTCCATCTTCTATTGTTCCTGGTTTGATGCTGCCTGCTTGAGGATGGAGGGAATTGCCGAGAATCCACAAATGGCTTAGTGTCTCTTTCTTAAGGGGTAGTCATCTGAGACTGATTTTGTGTGATTTTGATCCCCTTTCAGGATGAAGATTGTTTAAAATGTGTTAGTATAATGACACAGGAAAGTGCTTCCTTCTAGAACTAGTATCACTCTCTTTGTCCAGTGTCCACTCATTGCTTGATTTGTATTCCAACCCTCTTCTCCCTTCCCTCAGCACCTCACCAGTTGAATACTTAACACTTAGTACCTAACATTTTCAGTGTAGAAGCATGAGTAACTAAAAAGCCAGTTGAGGTCTTTATTTATAGCTGAGAAATAAGGGAGCCACAGTGTCTTCTTGCTCTCCCATAACTGGGGGTTTTGGTTTTCTATTAGGGTATGGCTCAGTGTGCACATGAGTGCAGAGAGCGGGGAATAATGGTGTGAGAGTGAAACTGGACTATGTGGGTGGAAATGGGGGTCTGGAGTCCTTGGTGAACTTTAATATAGAAAGTATTTGAACGTAAAGTGAAAGATGATGAGAAAAGTGTATGTGTTCCTTTTGTAGCTAGAACAATTAATTATATTTCCTGACTTGCTTTTCCTTTCTCTGTTATCTTAGGTGCTAAAAGAAGCTTCTCAGATGAACCTTCTGGCCAGGGTGTGGTGGTACAGGCCATTTCAGTACTTTGAAAAGAACGTCCAAGGAATTGTACCTCGATCTTACCATTGGCCCCTCCCCTGGCCAGTAGTCCCCCTCGGTAGGCAAGTTAAATACAGCCGGTTGGTGAACGACACATAACAGCTGTGCAAATTAGGGGGAAGAGGAACTGTCCAAAGTGCTAAGAACTCCATGAGAGAAGATGCCATAAAAGAAACCACCTCCCTAATCCTATTATCTTTCAACAGTTACCTTGACTTAACCTATTGAGTTACCTGCTCAGCACTGTGATCTTTTTTTCTCTCCAAAGGACCTGCGTTGGACAACAATAAAGAAAATTTAACCTATCATGCACTGTACACATTTCCTGTTCATAGGTTTGGGATTTACATAACCCGCAACCACCGTGTTCCTTTGTATATGATGCAACAGCATAAATGTAAGCTTTTATATCATAAGTTTTGGTCTTTCCAGTCAACATCTGGAAATAAAGCGTATTATTTTCTTGGGAAAACATACTTTTCATATATCTTGCCCCAAAGATTGGGCTGTAAGCCATTTTCTAGCAAATGTCTCTATGAAGGTTTCTAAGTACCTGAATGGGGTTCGATTCTGAAATCTTTCTACCTGTTGCACCGATACTCAAATAAAAATGACAGATACAGAATGGTTTGATAACTGGGTTTTGTAAAATCAGCAGAGACAGTGTGTCAAAAAGTGCAAAAAAAAAAAAAAAAGAGATTCTGTTACAAAGTGATTTTCTAAGTATTTCCTAACTTTATTTTTCAAAATGACGTTATGAAAACCAAATTTAAAGATTTTTACATGCCAGAGAGAAGAGAGTTGAAATTTAAAAATGCTTCTTGGGAGAGAAATTTGTCTATGTTTCTAGTGCCTTTCTTGTCTTGATTGTATGGTCAGTAGGCAATCTTAAATGTTTTTATTTAAAATATTCCATGAAAATACAAATGTATGTATACACTACTAAATTTTGCATTTATAGCTAAAGTAAATCAGAAGATTGTTTATGGTTTTTAAATTGCTATGATTTAAAGAATAGGGAAGCTAATTGCGAGTAAGAGCCTGTTCACATATTGTGAGCAGGTGACAGCGACGTATACCACTTAAATTATTTTAGCATCTATTTAGTAGTTCGATTTTAACTACACAGTGAAAATAGCCATGAATACCCCTTTTTTAAAAAAGAGAGTTTTAAAAATGATCACTTAACTAAAATTTGAAAGCTATGAATTAGTTTTCCATGCTCTCATGACAATTTTGTTGATTAACAACAAAAAAGAGATCTATTTCTTTAAAATATATTTGTGCAGAAACTGCATGTAACTCTTTAAGTTTTACTCCTACCATACATATGTTTGGGAAGTATTCTATTCTATTCTTGCCAATGTGGAGAACAAAATAGTTTTTTAAGAATGAAGAAGTATATATATCCATTCTGTATTTTACGTGCAGCAGAGTTATCTTCCATACGGTTTTTTTGTGTGCGTGTATGCGTATTCACAAGGTGATATTTGTATTGTAAAACAATAATGGTGAAGGAAATAAAAAGGCTTTTAAAATTTTGTTTGTTTTACATCTTTGTAAAGTTATTATTCCAGAGAGTATACTGATACATTACAGCTTACCTAGATCATAAATTAATCAAAATGCACTTTTTAATAAAAACTGATACTTAAAATAAGTGGCTCTTATTTCTAGTCTGTTCACATTATTCACAAAAGGAGTAAATGTAGTCATTAAAGCAAGATAGAAAACCAAGTTTTGGAATTTCTTCATTGAGTTTATATGTTAACCACAGGGCCTTTAATGGTCATCTGTTGGTTTTTTCCTTGAGATTCCTTAAAATGTAGTCTTCTGTAACCTCCACATATGTAAAAAGAATCACAAGTAAGTTAAATTCAAACTGCAAACCACTGTTTACCAGCTCTTTAAAATTCTCTGGTGAATTCTCAGCCAAGTCATTGATTTACTTTTTTTCCCCCTGTATCTGGAAGTAATGTAGCTTTTCCAGTTTAGGTGAAAAGGAAAAATTAAAATGAATAGAGTAATAGTACTTTGATAATCAGTGGTAATACAAAAGATCTTTTTAAAAGGAAAAGATGGCTGTTGTTATTCCTGATGTGGTAAAGAAAAGACGATGCTAACAGTGGAGGCCTGTCTGTTTTCTAAGATGTGTTTGGAGATGCTAGAAATGTAAAACTAGTAGGACTTTGCGACATAGGTCTTTGAACATGGGTGTCAGACAGGGAGCATGTATTCTGGGACAAGTTTGTATTGAACTGTTAGAAACTGTCACTATAACTTTGTTAACCAGGTGTTGCATGTTGAAAGTAAAAGTAAGTGGATTAACTGAAAATGAATTACTGGCACATGCTGAAAATAGGATCTGCCTTTTTTCTAAGGAAGTCTAAATAATTATGTTTTAAAATTCATTATTATGAATTTAAGTACCATGTATATACCAAAATATTCACTTGCTGATTGCTCTTCTTGCCTGAGTGTGCTCATTCATGAATTGACACATCTTGTAGCTTTTTAGTCTTCGGACCCCAAGGAGGACGAAGAGAAATCTCATTGTGTTTTTGGAGAATTGTATACGTGATAAGGCCTGCCTGAACGAGAACGTGTGCTTTTATTTTTTCTTTTTTTTTCTTTTTTACATTTTATTGTACTTCAGGTGAAGGCTTACAGAACAAATGGTTTCTCATGAAACAGTAGTACACATGTTGTTTTATGACATTGGTTAACAACCCCAC